ATTATATAAAGGTACAATTCCCAATGAGAAATGTAATTGTGTTGTATACCTACAATGTACCAATAAAAGAATTTAATACAAAAAAATTGAGCTTCATAAAGTAGGAACTCTGCTCACTATTTACTTCTACTACAACATCAGTCTTATAGTAGGAACTTAATAAATAAATATTTTTAAATTGGAAAAAAAGGACAGTGAGAGATTCTTTTCAGGACTCACAGGGAAATCAAAAATCCAATACCCAGCTTCCTGTGTCCAGTAAAACCTGGCACTGCAGTGTCTAGAGATGACAGTGCCAACTATGGTACCTGAAGCAGAATCTGAGTCAAAACCACTGCTGTCCTTGTCCCCTTGATTCTGGCCTATGCCTGGTTCTTCATCCTGCCTAATAATGCTTTAAGTTTCCAATGTCCTTCCAATAAATGTTCTTCCAATAAATTTCTCTCCTGATTAAATTTAATCAAAGGTGCTCTCTGTGACTCCCATTCAAGAACATCAACTAGTACAGAGGCCTAAATACACTTCAGGATAATTAGACCCATGGGGTCAGGAAATAATTCTCCACATATATCTTCTTGTAGGAGACTGTAAGTTAAAAAACTATAATGATAGATTTATGCTCAAAGCCAAAATATTTACTTCCTTCAATACGTTAGACTGAACCAAATGGAACTGTACATATAAGACCACTTTTTAATCTAAATTTTTTTCATACAATTTAACCTAATATATATCAGTTATTTTAAAAGACACAGTAGTATCTACTACCTGTTTGCTCTGTTAAGTTATCTCAAAAATGTTTCCTTAATTTATGTAATATTTTTAAAGGCTTAGGCTTTAAAACACTGCTAATAAAACTACAAAAACCTTTTTATACAGCAGCATTGATTGAGGCTTACAGAATGTCAACCCTCTAAAAGCCCTTATAAATATTAGAGAATGGGAGGGGCATGTATTCAATAAGAATGAATTAGAATCACAGACATTTGTAACCAGGAGGCCCAACTACAATGACTCACTGTCAGCCCTAACTTCCATTCCAGTTGTCTGAAATTCCTCCAGCCAAATAGGTATCTACACTACAGTATTCTCAGAGTCATTAAGGAAGGAAAGTATGTAACTTCTTTAGTAGCCAGTTCTAGTTACCAACAAGTAGGAACCTATTTTGGAGGGGTTTTTTTTGCCTTATATATCTGCCTGTATCACACCTGCTACATTTCCTCTTACCTGCATAGTTTTAAAAGCAGTTCCTCACTATACAATACTTCATACATTTAATAGTATTTACTAACTTATTACTCAGCATTTCCCTTCATACTCAACCATCCTAATTCCTTTAATATTTCCCAAAACTCTATTTTTCAATTTTTTCTCTATTCTGAACCTACTGTACATTTTCCAAGTATTCCAAAGTGTTGAAATTAGTGAATTCTGAAAGCAAACGCAAAATAAGTGAGACCAATTTTGAGGGTCGGTAAAAAATGTGCCACTAGAGAAGAGAATTTAAAAAAAAAGAAATTGATGACAAGAAGTACAGAATGGGAATGACTGAACTGGTGAAATACACAATCATTCTTTTTTTTTTTGGTACCGGGGATCGAACTCAGGACCTTGAGGTTGCGAGGCAGGTGGCAGAACCACTGAGCTAAATCCCGGTCCCCCCAATCATTCTTAATACAAGTGTGAGATGAGAAGAGATACATTGTGGAAATGAGATACAACAGGCTTGCTTTCATTTTTCTTCTTTTTTTAAAAAAACTTATTATCAAAGTCCTCTAAGAATGATCCAAAAAATAAATATTAGATTTTGCCCTAAAACAATAGTTTAAAGTTGTCTCAACACTACAATGCTTTGCTAAGCTGATAAGAGGTTTTTACCTGAATGGTACTTCTTCCTTTGGAACATCCACATAGTAACGAATAAAAAATCGTTCAGAATCTTCTCGCTCACCATCGGTGACAACACTGCCATTAAGTTTAGAAACTGATGGCAATCTATAAGTTAAAGCCAAAATAAAGACCTTTTAAGACGTCAAAAATATTTAGGTTTAGAAATATAATAATTCGTTTGAGGGTCAGTCTTATTTCTTTGAATGGACAACATCTGACGTACTTTTCCTTGTGTATAAATACAGACACGGACTAAGGTCATATAAAAGACCAAAGAAATCCAGTTTCATTTTTGAATATGATACTGACTTTTCATAATCATACCTCATCTTTTAAAATAAGATTCTAGGCAGCACCAACATCCAACTTAAATAAATATAATGCAAGCCACAAAAGTAATTTTAAATTCTCTAGTAACCACACTTTTAAAAGTTAAAAGAGGTAAAATTAATTTTAACAATGTAGTGTATTTAATCCAATACCTCCAGGATATAATCATTTTGACATATACAGTAGGCACTACTCAAAAATAATTAAAAAGCTATTTTCTATTCTTTTATTCATAGAAAGTATTTGAAATCCAGTATTTATTTTACTCTTTAACACATTTCAACTCATTCAAGACATATTTCAGGTACTCACAGCCACACATAGCTAGTGGCTACTACATAAAACAACACATGTCTAAAGAGTGCTCAGTATAATATGATTATATAATTCAGGAATTAATTTATCATATCCGCAAAAGAATTGTGTAGACAATAATGTATAAGGTATTCTGCAAACTCAATCTTCTTCAAAGAGAAGTATGCTGACATTTCTTTCTTCAATTAGATACTAATATGGATATTAACAACTACAAAGTAGTAAGAATCTCCCAGGCATTAGCTGGTCAGAAAGATCAAAATCATGTTTAAAGAACCACTCCTCTTTAAGGAATCTTAAAGCCTATTTTCTCTTTCAAAACTACTATGTTTAGTGCACAAAGAGAACAAATCAAAGCTTTGTGGCCCTTTTCATTTTAGCCAAAATCGCATTTCTGCCACAAAATTACTCCCAGTAGGAAATAGTAGTCTGTGAAAGCAATGTCTGAGACACAAAGGCAAGAGAGTCTGACAAAGAACATAAAAAGAATGCCAGTCATAGTTAAGTCAACATATATTCAAAAAGAAAATATAGAGGCTGCTGAAATAGCCCAATTCCCATGTATCTGCACTTTAAATGACCATTACGTTAACTGAGGAAATGAGGACAACTACAAGAGGAAAGATTCCCTATCATATGGACTTTTACCGTGTGATCCAGAACATTTCTTCAAAAATCTTAACACTAAAAACCATATCAATAGAATAGATTTATGAGGGAACATTTTGGTGGCATTAGAGGACATTGGAGGCATTGAGGACAAGGTATCACATTTTCCTCACTGTATTGCACTCATTTTTATCCAGGACTGGAAGCTACAGATGCAGCTCCTTTAAGCATGGTCTACTCAAGACATGGGTAGATTCATAGTGCCCCTTTCCCAAATAGTGTACCACCCCTTTAAGAAAACAGTAAGGCCCTATGAAAAGAAAAGAGAAGAAATCAAGGCCACAGACCTGGCTACTACCAATTTCCTGCGCTCCTCAGTGGTATATGGCTGCAGAAGAGGAATTCCTAACAACCTCACTTCTTCAAGTTTGGGGAATGAATTTAGTTTGTCAATGTCTTCCCAGGACTGCAAACCTAATTTGAGAAAGATATTGTTTAAGTTAATATAGACAAGCACACAAATAAAAGGAAATCATTCTAATTAATAATTTTGGGAACGTTAAGATGATCATAGACAGTATGAAATTTTTTTCCTATCCAAAGAAAAACTGGAATACACACTATAAAAATTCTGCCAGAGTCTCTCCTATCTCTGAGTTTAGTGGTCAAGAAGAAGCAGACTTGTTCTCCAACATCCTCTCGTCTCCTGATTCTACCAAAATAACTCATTAGAGGGGTCAAAGATGGTTTCAATGAGCAGGAAGCAAGACACAATTACCTAATTTTTTTTTTAGAAAGTAGTATACCAACTCATTTTATTTTACAGACTCATGGAATGTAACTATGGATCAGAGTTGATCCTGTCATATTCAAGTGTTTACCTGACAAATTCTAAAATGGGATATGATCAACACAATTAGAAACTAAATATTATCATTTTTGTACTGTTCTTATTTTATGACAGGGAAAATGGATCCAAAATCACTGTTAAACAAAAACCTTGAACCTTTGAGTAAGGAGAACATACAACAAATTAAGGTTTTTAGTTGTAAAATCAAATTGTTCTGATGGTTGTGAGCAAATGAATCATCCAAGTCAATACTTGACTTGCAAGTCATGTAGAACTTGCAAGCAGGAAAAATATTCCTGTAATTATGAAGCTGGTCAATTTTACAACATAGGAAATCCATTCTGGACAGCAACATAGTCCCTTCGTATTTCTATAAAACTGCCACAAAGGTAAAGACAGAGGAACAACCTATGAGGACTCTGGTACAAATTGTTCCAAATCACAACTGTCCTCTTCCCTTACAATGGCATTCCATCTAGAAGGAAGAATAGAGTTAGATCAACTGGTGTCAAATTGTGAAATAAATAGCTTCCTTACACAAAATATTGGTTTTCAAAACTTTTCACTTGTAATAGCTATGGTGAAATAAACTAAGTTTATGTTTTTTTCAGTTGTAGGATAGAGTTACTTTCAAATAGGCGTTCTTTCAAGAAATAGGATAAATGACAATGTCTCAAGAATAAGTCATATTAGGAAAATATTTTTGTAAAACACATCTGATAAAGGACTATTAGGGAAAATAGAAAAAGAACTCTTAAAACTCTTAAAACTGTGGAGCAACGGGAACTCTTGCTCATTACTGGTGGAAATAAAAAAGGTATAGCTACTTTTGAAGACAGCTTGGCAGTCTCTTACCAAACTAAACATATATGCTCCAACAATCATGCCCTTACTATTTACTGAAATGAGCTGAAAACTTATATCCATACAAAGGCCTACACACAGATATTTAAAGCATCTTTATTCATAACTGCCAAAACTTGGAAGCAACAAGATGTCCTTCAGTAGGTGATGGATAAACAAATTGTGGTATATCCAGCAAAGGGTCTATTATTTGGTGCTAAGAATAAATGAGCCATCAAGCCATGAAAAGAAATGGAAGGTAGCATGGGATGTGGCTCAGCGGCATAGTGCCTGCCTAGCAAGCTCGAGGTCCCAAGTTCAATCCCCAGTACAAAAAAAAAAAAGAAAGAAAGAAATGGAGGGTATAAATGCATATTATTAAACAAAAGAAGATGTTATGGCTTGTATCCAGATGTCCCCCAAGGCCTCATGTGTTCATAGGTAGGGCTTTTAGGAGGTGGCTAGATATAGGATGTGTGATACTGGCATTAAGGATGTGTGGTAATGGATTGGTCAACTAACTGGTTTATCATAGTTCTGAGTGTGGATAATGGGAAGGCTCACCCTGGCTGTGGGTGGCACTACCCAAAAGTCTTATAGCCTGGATAGGATAAGAAGGAAAGGGGGCTTCCTGCTTGCTACTGCTGCCTCCCTCCTGCTCTGCCATGAATTACTTCTCCTTTCAATGTCCCCCTGGCATGCCACCCTGCCTTGAAGTCAGCTAAATATGGACTGAAACCTCTACAAACTGTAAGCCAAAATAAACCTTTCTACTTTTCACTTGTGGGTATCAGGTATTTTGTCTTAGCAACAAGAAAAGTAATTAAAACAAAAGCCAATCTAAAAAAGCTACGTACTATATGATTCCAAATGGATGACATTCCAGAAAGGCCAAAACTATCAAAAAGCTCAGTGGTTTTCTGGACCTGGGGATAAATAAATGGAGCAAAGGGGATTTTTTTTAGGGCAGTGAACCTATTCTGTACAATACTACAATGGCAGGTACACGCTATTATACATTTGACAAGACCCAAAGAACATAAGACGCCAAAAATGAATCTTAATGTAAATTATAATGGTGTGTCAGCATAAGTCGACTGATTTAAAACACTACAAATTTACTACTTTGGTGTGGGATATTGAGAGTAGGGGAGGTTCTATGTATGTGGGGAACAGTGTATATGGCAACTCTCTACAAATCCTGGTCAATTTGCTGTGAACTTCAAATTGCTCTAAAACATGAAATTTATTAATTTAAAAAAACCAGGCTAAATATACTCGTTCCTGTGATATGATCAGATAGCAAGATATGGACAATAAACTAGACATTAGAAAGGTGAGCATTTGAAAACAGATGGCATGTTGGGATTCCTTACTCCAAATACAGAAAAAACAGTCTAGTTTGTTATTCTTTTTACTCTTCCTTTTACTGTCTAATTCCTCAACTTCATTCCACTCCTTCCATAGCATGATCTCTTTAATGTATAAAATATAAATTACTAATGCAATGCTCTGTCACTTAATATTTATCAGAGCATTTATGAAAATGAATGTCTTAAATTTAATCAATCAATAGGCATTGGCATGTCATGTTGAAATTTTGTCTTATAAAAAGGTAGAAGCATGACTGAAATAAATACATTTTCATTGTATTTCATACTTAAGCTCAGAATAATCTACATACAGAATGAAAAAGAGGCTGTGCCTCACCTGATTTGTGGAGACTGATGGATCGCAAATTAGGAAACAACCTGGCCAATGAATCATCAGGCTCCTCAATGGCATTCAAATGATTGTTGGCCAGGATAAGGGTATCCAGTGAAGGAAACATAACTCCTAACTTTCGTATTTCAGTCCAGTCTTGGAGGTTATTGTCCGTTATATGTAGGAGCTTAAGAGAATGACAGCAAATAGACGAACAAGACACTGTTTCATAGTCATTAAGGCACAGGAAGAGCTCCTCCAAACTGCAGAAAAAAAGGGAAATATTTCATTGTTTAAAGAAGTTTATAGTTTGTACTGTTACTTATTTTTATTCATTCAATAAATAAAGAGTGTCTACTATACGTGAGACTGGTAAGTATTATAGAGAAAATATAAAGCTGCCTTCCTGAAGCTCAAAATACTGTACAGCTGAGAAGACAAAACCTCAAACATGTAAAACAATAGAGAATGATATAAGCTGGACTGATTTTGTGCTTAAATAATTAAGTGCTAAATTAAACAGTACTAACTGTAAGCATAATTATGGTTCATACAGGAATGAACTTGCAACTGTAGCTAGGATAACCAAGAAAAGAAGCAAGGAATTGAAGGAGAGCTGGACTTACATAAGTTGAGGGAAAAGAGAAGAAAATTCCAGAAACAACTATGAATAAATGTTTAGGAATAGAAACAATAATTACTGAATTCCTACTGTGTCTGGAACATTAGAGATTTTACTTCTATTTCTGCAAGGTAAATAATATTATCACCACTTTACAGACAAGGAAGCTAAGCCCAAAGAGGGTAAGTATCTTATCAAAAGTGATATGGTTAGTAAGTGGAACTGGGATTTAAAAATTCATTCAATCCCATGCTAGAAGTTGCATGTGGTAAGGAAAGCAATCTCATAGAGTAAAACATTAAGATGCAGTAAGTAGGGCCGGGGATTTAGCTCAGTGGTTCTGTCGCCTGCCTTGCAAGCCCAAGGACCCGAGTTCGATTCCTGGTACCAAAAAAAAAAAAAAAGATGCAGTAAGTACTGTGAGATAAAATTCTGAAGGGCTTTGATAATTTCCATATTTAGATAGTCAAAGAAACTACAGCCTCATAGTCAAGTGTGGTGGCATGCACTTGTAACTCCAGAACTGTAGGAGGCTGAGGCAGGAAAACTGCAAGTTCAAGCCTAGCCTAGGCAACTTAGTGAGAACTTGTCTCAAAATAAATAATAAAAAAGGGTTGGGGATATAGGCCCTGGGTTCAATCCTCAGTACTGTAAAAAAAAACAAAGAAAAAAAAAACAAAACAAAAAAAAAGAAAAAAACCACAAAAAATCTCCCAAAACCTATAGCTTCCTTCATATATTTCTTTAAAGTACTTTGCACTTTGCACCCTTATGTCCGTAAACAAAGACAGACACAAACAAAATATAAAAAGGCATTTTAAACTGACAAAAAAGTATGATTTCTTTCTTAAATTGCTGAAAAGAATACCAGAGGTCCATTTTACCATCAGGCCAGCTAGGCATTTAATCATCTAAATGTTAACATATTTTAGAGATACTATGAATTTTTTTCCTCCCAAAGAAAAAGGCTGAAGCAAAATTCTTAAATCAAGTAATCAGAAGATTAGAATGGAGAAAGGCTGAGCTGATCTAGAAGCAATAAGCGCTTCTCTGGGGTATTTTCTAGCCAAAAGATGACATATCTCATGTCTCAGTGCTACTCAACACTGAATAAGTACTCCACTGGAAATGCTACCAGATTACCCTCACACCTTCATGCTAATTACTTCATTTTTCTAGCTTCTTTATCTATTCAATCTGCAGTTCTAGTATTTCTGAGATGGGAGATGAGCGGTACTTCTATGTACTAACACAGACCACAACACAGCTCCCTCTCCACCATGCTCTCAGGCTTACTCTGGTAACTCCTGTAGGATGGTGTGCACTGTCTCCCATGAAGCTTTGCTGTTGTTGAGGACGAGTTTGCGAACCCCAGAGAAGGATCCAGCACACGTTCTTTCTAAAACTGACAAATTCAGAGGGTTGGAACTCAGGTTTAGGAACTCCAACTGGGGAACATTTGACACAATTTTACTGACCTAGGGAAGAGAAAAAAGCATATCAGGCAGTAATCAGAGCTTTTATATAGCAATCACGCTCAAGAAGTCCTAAGTGAGTGGGTCCCCAGGTATAGGCCCATTTACCTCAGGGAGTCCTACTTAGTGATGCTACCCACCGAGCAGCATAAGTGATGTCAACAACTCTTGGCAAATAATTTAATCTCTTTCTATGAAATAGCATATCTGATAAGTAATGGAACAAAAAAAAATTTCCTATGTCACCATTAGCAAAATTTCTGTTTTCTATGTGATAGTTTCTGTGATAAATAAAGATTAAAAGATAGTTTAGATGATATTCCAGGCTATAAATTTTTAAAGAGCTAAGACTGGGTCATATAATTCTCTTTGAGTATCTTCTTGCTCTCATTCTCAGAACATGAAGGCTAATTAAAGGTTTCTTTAAAATAACTCTAACAATTCACGTGTTCAAAACTGACTACATAATCTCAATCAAAAAAGTATGGTTTGAAGTTGTATCACACTTTAAAAACAAATTTATTTAAAAACGAATGTATACATAACTATATAACAAAAGTAAAAGAATAATTTTAGTTAGCAAACTGGTAGATTGAAAAACAGGAAGATACTGAACTATTACTTGCTCAGAACTAGTCTTTTTATATAGCTTGCTAATTACATTCTTAAAACAATTTGTTAGATAAGACTACTTTCACTCTAGTAAATGAAGAAACTGAGGTTCAAAGATGTTAAATAATTTGACTAACATCTCAGAGTCACAAATTTAGAATCTGGAACTCAAAAGTCAGAGTCATTGCTCTTTCCAATATACTAGTCATCATTAACTGTAACCAGAAAAAAATGAAGTAACAATTGAAGAGTAGTTGGTATAATGAGTAAGAAGGACAAGCTTAAACAAGTAAAAAATAAATACTAAATGCCCAGTAAATATACTAAGTGTCAAATGTCCAGACAATGTGGTAACTAAGTTATGAAAACAAGGGACTAGGAAGGGGTATTTAGGATTAGTTTCAGAGATGGAAAACCTGGGTTCAAACCGGTTTCCAGCACTTCCTAGCTGTGTGGTTTCAAATAAATCACTCAACTTTTCCAAATCTGTTTCCTGATTCATAAAACAAGGAACATAGTACCCATCTATGTTAGATGGCTGTTGGATTAAATGAGATACACATGTGATGCATTCAGCACAGCAACTGGCACCTCTTTTTGAAACTTCTTTCCTTAATTACCCATTAATTACATGTAAATGATGGAAGCAGAGATAGTGGAGCATTTAACATTTACTGAATAAATTATGGCACAAAATCATTCAATAGATGTAACTATTGCTAATATAAGAATAGTATGAACCAGTATCTCAACCCTGGCTATCCATCAAAATATAGTGATTCCCAGGTTCGACTATAAACTAGTCACAAGTTTCACAAGTGGGACAAGCTTCAGGGTTGGGACCTGGGTATCATTTTCTTTTCAAAGCTCTGGAAAAAAGTGTATGGCAGGAGCAGGGGCGAATCACAGGTAGAAAGAAAAAATAACTACTTTACACCAGGTCTCTATTTATATTCAGCTCAGGAACTCTAAAATCAGAGTAGATTAACTCCAATAAGGTTCAGAGGAGAATGTCAGAGGGAAAGTTCTTCACATTCACTATTTCATCTATCCCCCACACTAACCCTTTGAAGTTAGGATCACTTTTACTCTCACTTTAGAAATGAAGAAATAAGCTACCTTTTAGAGAAAATACAGAAGACTTATGTTTAAAGCACAGGGAATTTATATCAGTCTGCACATGTCTGTATGCTTGATCCTTTTGGTGATCAAAGGGTACCAAACATTAATGCAATATATGACTAGAATCTGGAGTTTAGTCTGTGATTACAATACAGCTACATAGTTCATGCAAGGACCAAGCTTATACTACATTCTATGACCTCAATACTAATGATACAAAGGACCTTCACATAGAAGATGATGACCAGCTATATCTTACATTGTTTTTTTTTTTTAATCTTACATTTTTAAACAGGGAAATAAAGTGGAATTTTACTCCATCTAAGGCATGAAGAGTAACTGCTCATTTTGGTAAAACTCAGTTAAATAGGAACAAAACATAAGCCCTTTGATTTCTTCCCCTATTTTACTTTTAAAATAAAAAGGAAGACATTAAAATATGGGTAACTTAACGGTTTTAAAGTTATTTCAGCGAGATTTCCCAAGGCTAATAGCTATATGATGTAATCATCAGAGCCTACATCTACACTACTGTTCAGTGGAAATACAGATTTATAACCACGTGTATATTCTAAAAATATAAAATTGCACTAGAATCTCATAACTTAAGCAGGAAAATGTATGTTAAAAGTAGATAAATCTTACTTCTTAAAGGGCAGGAATAAAAGTTTTTTGTGTAAACTCAAATTGATGATAAGATTCAGAAAAATGTAATATTACACAGAAAAATTTACTTATGATGGAAAATTTCCCAATGTTAAAGACTAACAAACATTCCACTGAGTTTCTAGGGCTGTAGATTGACTGTCCTTTCTTAAATTCTTAACAACAACAACATCCAAAACACTCCTCCAGTTGGACTGAGCTGAGTTTGCTCATGTGCAGAAACATGGAGATGAACTTGGATCACATCACCCTCTTAGGCCTTCAATCTCATGATTTAATAGGGGCTCCTCCACTCTGGCTTCTAAAAGAGAAGACACTAAAGATTTAAGAAACATGGGGAAAGGGTTTTAAGATAACAATCTGTAATTTATACCCAAGCTATTCTCTACCTTACCCGACTAATTCCTCCCTCCTCTCAATTGCTTTAATTTCTTTTATAAAATGGTTTTGGTAAGGAAAGAAGAAAAAAGGAGGTATCTTGGAAACGGTCCAACAAAATTTTACCCGGCAAAAATTTTAAGTCAACACCTAAAAAATGCATTTTATTAACATATCAGTGCCTTATTTTAGTAGGGTGGAAATAAATCTCCTCCCCCACACTCATATTTATTGTAGCCTTTGGATATATAGCAACCAATAGTTTAATTACAAAAGAAGTTACTCATAATTCATAACATTAGTGATAATTCAGAAAACAAAGAACCTATTATATGATTTTGTTCCACATTTATTAATAATTAATACTGGCTAAAGTGAACCTAGTTAATGATTAATACTGGCTTAAGTATTAATACTGGCTAAAGTGAACCTAGTTAATGATTAGGGACAAATGATATTTTCAGTGATCAGACATATGCACTGCAATGAGGTTGAAATGTAAGGTCTTAAAATCAGTGATCACATGAAGCTTTTTGTAGCATGATAGCTTATCAAGGCAAAAAATCAATATTCCTTTAGTATTTCTCCTGTATCTTTGTTCTCTGATACATAATCTAAAAGATTGGGATTAATTGTAGTTAAGGATAAGGAGTAAATATAAAGGAATGACAAAAACAAAAATAAACTGGAGCCAGGCATCCCTATACTCCCAGCTACTCAGGAGGATGAGACAGCAGGATCAAAAGTTCAAGGCCAGGGCAGGGATTTAGCTCAGTGGTTTCACCGCCTGCCATGCAAGCGCAAGGACCCAAGTTCGATCTCTGGTACCAAAAAAAAAAAAAGTTCAAGGCCCGTCTCAGCAATCTAGCAGGACACTGTCCAATAATAAAAATAAAAAGGACTGAGGATCTAGCTCAGTGCAAAAGTATGGGGTTGTCTCCAGTAACAAAATGGTAAATAAAAACCTGAAAAATGGAAACCTGAAAGTAGCAGCAACCAATGTTTACCTGAAAACTGCCTAATGAGCATGTAAGAGAGAGAAAAGTGAGTGCAGACAGAGTACAAATACATATGTGACTCTCTGACTATATGTCAATGTGGTCTGAGAAATACTTAATACAAAACTTTGTCTAAGTAGAGAAAAGGCTGAATTATATAGTGTAAGCACTGTGTAATGACCCATACTACATACAGGTTGCTTCTCAAGTGGCAACTACATCATTATTAAACTGCTCCCACCAGTTAGCAAAAGCTCATGTACACAAAGTACAAATCAACACACAAAGCACAGAGCCTTTGTGAAATTTTATATTCCCAAGGAAACAACTTTAGAGGATTCAGCACATGACCATAACAGCTGCAGTGACTCAAAGAAAGAACTGGTCTGACTTGTCACCAATCCAGACCACAAATCTCACTAGAACTTCAGTAGCAGGACACAGGAGAATTGCAGAGAAGAAGAAGGATTAATAAGGTGCTCTTTTTGCATTTGTGCAGTGTGGAAGGAATATGGATGGCATAAGGTATCTCAAAGGACTAAGAAGGTACAGACTATAACTTGTCAAATAGTAAATTATACTAGTTGTTTAGATAGATAAATGTATACATAGAGATTATTTCTTAGAACAGCCCTGTAAATCTGTGTATCATTTAGACATTAGGTGACACACATCTCCAAGAATTTTGGTAAAAATCCTATGAAAACAAGAAGTATAACAAACAGAATAGTTACCAGGCAAAATAAAATTATGAAATAGATAAATATTAAAAAGTGAATAAACTAGGATATGGACAGATTTTTCTTTAACAGGAAAGCTGTCTTAGCATTTGTACAGCATTCAATATTTACAAAGTGCTTCAGTGATTAATTTTATCAACAAACATGTATTATGGATGAGCAAGCTGAAGCACTACAGGACTTGGTAAATTTCTTAAGATCACAGGAAAAGTTGGAGCAAGTGATCTTGATTAAACCTTAAGATAGTATCATTTATTCATTAACACATGCAATAAACATTTGACTTCCTAGTATGCTAGGCACTGCTAAATTTAAAGACAAAACTCTCCACCCGAAATAACCTCTTAGTCTAGCAAGAAAACTGTCAAGTAAGCAAGTGACTACAGCACTGTGATGAATCCTTTTACAGCAGTAAGATACAGGGCTGCAGGATAATCTGCTTGAATGCGAGCCAGGGAAGACTGGACCAAGTCTGGAAGGATAAATAGGAAGTGACCAGGTAGACACAGGAGAGAGAGAGCAGTGGGTTTAGCGTGAACAAAAGCTCTTCATGTCATGAGTTTATTATGGGCTGCAAGTAAAAGTATATGGCTAAACATGCAAATAAAGTTCCAGAAATAGCCAGGCATGTTGGTCCATGCCTGTAATCTCAGCCCTCAGGAGAATGAGGCAGGAAGATTGCTGAGAGTTCACGGCCAGCCTAGGCTAGTGAGTTCAGGGTCACCCTGAACTACATAACGAGACCCAGTCCCAAAAGAAAATAAAAAGTTCCAGAAATCACAAAAGGTCACATGATGAAAGACCAAGCTCAAACCATTCAGACTTTTGTTCTGAAACGAAAGCTATTAAAGGACTTCATATAAGATTGTCACAGCGTGGTTCATGTACTAAAAGGAGTTGGTGGTAGCACTGTTCAAGATTTATGACCCAGGAATGGGAACCGTATACAAGAGCTGAAGCAAAAAAATTAAGAGTCTAAATTAATAATAATAATTTAATAATAATGCTGTTATTTTTGTACTTAGAGTTACTCTGAAGCCAAAAGACATCAGTTATATCAAACTACCTGCAGGACTTGATAATATAAGAAAAGTTCTAATATATTTGAGATAAATTTCAGTAATAAGAATAAATATTTTTATAATTTTGGCTTCAAGCTCTTAGCAATTGTATGTCAATTTATAGTAATAAGTACTGAAGCAGAAATGGAAAATCAGTGTAGGATGTATAAACTAGTGAAGTAGGAGAAAATTTAATGCATTGGTAGTAGTCTACAGACTCATTAACCTCTTGAAGCCTGGAATAAAGTTCCTCAGTCCTTCTTACAATGATAAAAAACAAGTTGGCAGCAACAAAGCCATTGGAACAATCACCATCAAGTCATTTATCTTGAGATGTACAGACAAGAATCTCAAGTGAGGGCCAGAGATTTAGCTCAGTGGTGCTGCGCCTCCCTGGCAAAAGCAAGGTCCAGAGTTTGATCCCTGGTATCAAAAAAAAAAAAAAACAATCTCAAGTGAGAACCTGAATTCAGCAGAATATATAATAACATAAACAATAATAGAGTGGTTATTTTCTGCCTTCACAAAAATAAGAACTTTACCTCATGCCAGTCTTCAAGTTTGTTGTCAGAAAGATCTAATTCCGACACATGAGCGCAAAAGGCAGCAATTTCTCTTTCATCTCCTGCACAGGTAATTCCACAGCTGTTCAACACTAGTACACTTGGGAGGTTGAGGCGATCTGCATCACAGGGCACACAAAACACTTTTGTATCAGCCTAATTTTTGACGACCCCATTTAGAACCCAGTAACTGTCAAGAAACAAAAATCAAATAGTGTGAAATTGCACAAAGACCTGAAAATGAAGAATATAACAGGATCCAAGAGCCCTGAACTCTAAGGGGAGATGGCCAAATATGGCTAGGAGGAGCTCAGAAGTACTAAACCACCAACACCTCAAAGCCCTTTGGATTTTTACTTGCAGCAAGACTCTTTTTCTCAGTTACAAAAGAGCCATCATCCACACTATCATCTTATCCCTGGAACACCCCAAATGTGAAATTCATGTCCGGACTACCACCACTTCCTATTGGCCTTGATTCTTTAATTCAGTTCAAAAATATTCTGTTTAGCTCTTCTCTATCTAATGTGTATCTTTACCTTTTGCTGCTTATGAAAATTATCTCAAACCAGTTGATTATCTGCTAAACCATTTCTATTCTTTAAGTTCATATTCATGAAATTCCTCACTTAAGGAGATTCACTCAAAACTCTGCATCTGTTTCTTTTGTACTTGGCTACTAGTTGTCCCCATTTCATATCCATGTAGAATTTGCCCCTTATGAAAATCAGCTGTCTTTAAAACATAAATTGTAATATGAAAAAGTGTTTCAGTATCTGAAATATTGAATGAATTCAGCCAAACAGAGGTAACAACTCTTTGGCTACTGCCTAGTTCAAAAATGTAAGTGTCAATAAAATCACTCTTACTATCTCTACTAAAAGGGATAAACATAGAAATTCAACTACTCTTCCCACTTGGTATAAAACAAGGAATCATGAAGGTGATATTTTATTAAATGGATACTTCAAATTATATGATTTTTCAACTTAATACCTTTCCGTATCAAATTTCTCAGAATGGGAATGGATGCTAAAAAAAAATAACCAAGATGTCCACTTCTCTTTGCCATTCCAGATTACATGAAGTGAAAAGATAACTGTATTGGGAAATAATAAATACTCAGTGACCTCTGAATATAGAAACTAAAACAATGATTCACCATTAATTCTCCTTAATTACAAAGAACCAATTCCAAGGTCTGTTAAATCAAACATTAAGCTAAAAACACATCTTGTACATTTCTAGTTAGTTACAGAACTTTGCTCCTCTCTAAACAAATTCTACATTCCTGAAGGACTAGTTTGAGTCACAGCTTTGAATACCTTCCTAGTCATAGTAATTATCTAAATTTATTTCCCAATCACTGTGGCATTCACTTGGCTCATCATAGACTTTTTGTTATATCTTTGTAAACATAAATGTCTTGTAATTTAATCAGGCTGTTAAGGTCTATGAGACACAGACCAGCCATGGACTGTATCCTATTCCCCCAGTTCTTAAAAGAATATCCATTTAAAAGATTGTCTCACTCAAATATTATTCTTGCAACTGAGATACCTCCTGGTCAATCTAGAGGAAAAGAAGTTCTGTGTGGTTTAAAAAAAACCTGAAATCCAGCCAGCAGCATGGTGGCACATGCTTGTAATCCCAGCACTCAAGACACTGAGGCTGGAGGATCACCATGAGTTTGAGGCCATCTGGGCTACATAGTGAGTTGAAGCCCAGCCTGCACTACAAAGCAAGACCCTGTCTCAAAGAAAAGAAAAAAGAGAAGAGAAGAGAGAAGAGGAGCTGAATGAAATCCAAACAAGAATGATTAGCCTCATAACTTAAAAGAAATCATCTGTGAATTAGGCAATTATTTCAATATACATAACTTCCTAAGTACATTCCAGTAAATGAATAATTTAGGTCCCATCTTACCTTTCATAGGAGAGCCCTGCGGTGTGGCTGGGACATGGACTCCCATCCCAGGGCCACGGCGGTAAGGAAAGTTTTCAGGACTATATTTTTCACATAATACTTGCATAAAACTTCTTCCACTGGGTTGGTCCATCTTCCTTCACTAAAATTCCATAAGAAACCAAGAAATCATCAAAATTATTTACTCATATAACAAATGTTTATTGAAAACGCGATTATTTCTCAGGTACTAGGGTCAGCAGTGCGACATACAAGACATGCTCACGACTCCCAGCCACTTACATTGTGGTGACATCTTATGATTTAGGGAAGCTATATATGCTGACAAATGACAGCAGTAAAAGCTTAGCATATGATATTTGTAATATAATAAAAGGATTCCAAGATTTAGAAGGATGTGATCACTTCCAACCTAGAATAACAAGAAGGCTTCTGGTGGGTGCCAGTATTCATGTGGCACTCTTCTAATAGTCCAAACATTAAATAACTCTAGCATTTCTTAAAAAAACATGCATACATTAAAAGAGGTAATATTAAACGTGTGAACTTGTGAAAGCCTGATAAGCAGTTATCTGAAGGGGCTGGTTTATGCTTTGCATTAAAATTCAACCAAATTATCAGTGACTGTAATTAACACCTGTAATTCCATTTAGCAGCTATCAGTTTACTTTTTAACAAATAAAGTAACTAGAAAAAGGATAGAGAGTGCTCAAAGAATAAAGGACATCATAAAAAAAGTTATGGCAATGGGAATGTACAGTGGTATATATGAATAACCTCTAGAAATCTGGTATTGCCAGTTCAGCATATCCATGGCAGAAATGGTCAGGAGAATCTAAATAGAAACCTCAGAGGAGAGCTTATATGCCACACTAAGAAGCTAAATTTTTTCCTATAATAAGCAGGAAGAAACTAAAAGGTTTTAAGGAAGGGAATACAATAATCAATTTTTTGGAAAGCTCTCCCAGGCAATTTTGTAGTTGATGGACATGTAGGAAAGAAGACTGAAGGCAGGAGACAAGTTAGGAAAATACTGCAAAAATACGACTGAGATAAAAAGAAGGCCTGATGTGATACATCTACAAAATAAGCTATTGTTGTGTATACTATTTGTATTACAGGATTGATACAGAGCCCTAAAATGTATAAACATATTATTTGATTATAGGGCTATATTGGAAAATTCTAAAATATACAAATACTATTAATTATAAGAGAAAGTTATAGTAAGGTAGAAAGAACACAGACATAGGAAATTTATGCTCTCACTACCAGGTTACATACAAACTAGTTATCTTCTCTATTTCTAACTTTCTCACCTATGGTCTAAACCTTTCCCTCCAATCTGCAACAAAAATGGTGGTGGTGGGGGGTAGAGCATGAATATAAAATATAAAAGTAATCATTAAACTCGGCCCATATCCTAGACTACTACCAGCACCACATTTATTGGGCTTTGTGAAATCAGTTCACAAATGCCTAGGACACAGTAGATGCTTGGCAAGTACATGGCTATCCAGTAAACAAAAGTTTTCTGGATGTAATTCACCAAAGTTTAGATTATGGAATACATTTCAGGAGTATATCACAAGTCACCTCAAAAACAGAGCAACAGACTCACTGACAGAGAAATAGGGCAAATAATTCCTTTCACAATAGCATCCAAAAAACTGAAATACCTAGGAATCAACCTAACAAAAGAAATCAAA